TGACTGTATTGTGAATGTCTTGTTGTCCCTCTCTTCCAACTGTGCTGAAGTTACTTATTCTTTTCCAAGTCAGGCAAATCACTCACTAGGTGGCAATATTTCCTCCCTTTCCCTTCACTGAAGTCGTCAGGAAATGCCTATTGCTCGTTTCTATGTTCCACAGCAAATCTATTTTCCTTCTTCAAAATGACAAATTGAAGCTGCTTTTTCAGACAGGACTCCCTGAGCAAGAGCATTATCCTTAGAATTAAAATCAGTGACACGTAAAAATGGATCAAAACTGAATACATACAACCAATTTCTATTTACTGGATAACCCTTTCATCAGCACAGTTGATATTTTCACCAAAAACATCTGTCCTAGCACTGTCAAATTTTCACATTTTCCTTCTTACATGCAATTCCAAATCACAAACTGGCAGGAAAACAAAACAGAACAGAACAAAAGACCAAAAAGGATCTTAACATCTGAGTTTGTCAAGAACATTTCTGACAACTGTCAGAAACTGCAAGCAAGTACTGGCTCTGCCTTACCCAAAGCATGGAGTGGGTAACTACTCTAAGTCCCTTATAGTTCTACTAGCCCGAGTGAGAGATACACCAGAGAAGGAAGACATAAGAATAATTATTTTCTTTGCGTATAATTTACTGAATCCAGTATGCATTTTCTGAGTACAGACACATGGATGCAGAAGCTGGGGGAAAGAATTCTGTTTGCACTTCATGTTACTGTTGTTCCATATATCCTCGGTTGAAATTTCAGTAGCTTCGGCTATCAAAGTTCAATGTACTAATTGTGCATTGCCACTATTCCCTCATCTTTTTTAGAGGAAGAACAATAAATCCGTAACGCTCAGGGTTTCATAATCACATTCAATTTTTTTTAAGGGAAGGAATACTTGAAGGGCCATTAATTTGAAACATAAAGGCAGTTATTTGGGGGAAAAAGACAACTACTACTGTCAGACAGGGGTTATGAGATGACAATACTGGCAAAATCAAGAGAATGGAACTGGATTAGGGAGAAGCAATTTTCAGTGGGGTGTTTTAAAAGCAATAATTTACACATTTAATTCCAGTATTCTATAACCAGCAGGAAGAAGATAACTGTTTCTCCTTTTCCTTAAAGGTTAAAGCAGCGCGAGCATTTAACTGAATCCACTAATAAAAAAGACAGAACTCTAGACATGGCAATACTACAGTTAAAAGTTGTGGTTTCCTTTTTCTCTTTCTAAAATGCTACTCCATACTGTAACTACTCAGATTTAGGGATTAAAGGGATCATCTTGGTAGACTTCTTTATTTTTTTTTTTTAAAAAAGAAATATTTTTAAAAAAAAGAATGTCCCTCCTACAATGCTCAGTTGAATTGCAAAAAAATTTCAGAATACTACATTTGAAACATTTTCTCGTTACTAAAAGCTCAAAGAAACCACTTACATTACAATCGTGCAAAGTCCTTGGTGAGTCCTACTGCACAATGGTTAACACTGTTCCCTGTACATTGCTGCTAGCATCAATGACAGTAATCCACAGTAAAAAAAGCAGCTATATACGTCCTCTTTAGCAGTCAGGGCTGCAGGAATAAAAGATGCACTGAGCAGACAGGCTGGCTTCAAAGCGCTGAAATGCCTACAGTCTATTCCTGCCGTTGGCTTTCGTTCTCCGAGTTGTTAGCTATTCCTTCTGTTGTTTACACTAAATATTCATTAGTAAGACAAGACATAAGTTTATTTTATCTTAATATGCCAAAAACGAGGGAAAACATCCAGATAAAGATACAAGATGGAATTAGCGTAAGTTGCAGACAGCTATTACGCTGAATTCAAAAACTGGTGAGCCAGGCAGAATGGGGAAGGGGTGGTTAGTGGAAACAAAAAAAAAATCCCCTTTGTCCATAGAAAGGAATTCAGTAAAAGATGTTCTAGCAGAGCCCCAGGATTCCCTCTTCCTTCCCTCCCACTGCAAACCTTTTGCTTTGAGCGGTTCTCAAGGAAAAATGGTACCATATAGTTTGAAGCAAGTTTCAAACATGCCGTTTCCTTAAGAGGTACCCGCTTTCAGGTAAGCTAACACCCAATCTTCCTCTGTCATACAGAATTACACAGAAGAAAAAATACAGTAGATGAGTCAAACAGTAGCACCCGAATCAAGCCTACTGTGCTGTGTATGCATCGTGGGGCCAGGTACATTAGGATAGATGTTAACTATCGGGTCATTTTCCCCCGAAACATCCTTGCCCTCCCCGTGTCGGCTTACAGCTCCCCTTTCCAGGCTCACTCAGTCAACTTCTCCCACAACCTTCCAGACAATTCTCTTCCTTGCACTGGAGGCAGACACTTCAGTCCTCCTCTTGTGAGCGCACAGCAACTCAAGTCCCAATTTCGATTTGAAGAGAAGCATGTAAAACTAAAAGATTTGAATGTTGTTAGTGAAAAAAAAGATGTAAAACGTCCACTTCCAATATAGGAACCACACCAAGTCTTGATACCTCCCTCTAAAGCAGAGGTGCTAGGCCTGCCAATCATTTTAATGTCTCAACTGCTCAGCCAAGCATCTGTAGACAAAAAATTTATCATAGTCTTCTGTGAAAAAAAAAAAATAAATCCAAAATTAGGACCAGACTGCTGAGATTTTTAACATGAACAGCTGAAGTCTGGCAAAGTTATATAGGCATATAGGATCATAGAATCGTCTAGGTTGGGAAGGACCTTTAAGATCATAGAGTCCAACTGTTAACCTAACACTGCCAAAACCACCACTAAACCATGTCCCTCAGCACCGCATGTATCTCCGGGGATGGCGATTCCACCGCTTCCCTGGGCAGCCTGTTCCAGTGCTTGATAACCCTTTCCGTGAAGAAATTTTCCCTAATACCCAATCTAAACCTCCCGTGGGACAACTTGAGGTGGTTTCCTGTTACTTGGGAGAAGAGACCAACCCCCACCTCACTGCAACCTCCTTTCAGGTAGTCGTAGAGAGTGATAAGGTCTTCCTCAGCCTCCTTTTCTCCAGGCTGAACACCCCCAGTTCCCTCAGCCGCTCCTCATAAGACTTGTTCTCCAGACCCCTCACCAGCTTCGTTGCCCTTCTCTGGACACGCTCCAGCACCTCAATGTCTTTCTTGTCTTGAGGGGTCCAAAACTGAACATGGTACTGGAGATGCGGCCTCACCAGTGCCGAGTACAGAGGGACGATCACTTCCCCAGCCCTGCTGGCCACACTATTCCTGACACAGGCCAGGATGCTGTTGGCCGCCTTGGCCACCTGGGCACACTGCTGGCTCACATTCAGCCGGCTGTCGACCAACACCCCCAGGATGCACTCAGCTTCTAAAATTCAAAGATTAAATTGTTTTCTACAGGATACGCCCCAACAGAAACTGAAATTAATTCAAGGGAGCCCAGCGAGCTGGTCATTTAACAAACCCTTCCGGCTGGGCTACTCAAAGGCACCCAAGCACTCCGATCGCACCCACCGTGATTAATTATTTGCCTTAACGCTGGGGGAAAGCCAAAAGGGGCACGGTCAGGATGACTACCGAATGAAGTGGAAACCAGGGGCGACCAGATCGTGGGGCGGGAGGCACGGACAAGGCGGCGCGGAGGTCCCGCACGACCCCGGCCGTCTGTGGGGGACGGGGCTGAGGTGGGGGTCTCCAACCCGGCCAGGGGCGGTCCCCGGCGACGACAAACAACAGACAA